GATAATGTATCTTATATTTTCTCTTTTCCCCTTATTAGTACGAATATATATATATATATGGACATATGGTATATAGGTACTTTAGGTACAGTGACACTGAAGGCCACATCTTCGTGGACAAGCATGGGTAGGCTAGTCATTCAAATGCACTGGCTACTAATCCGAGTTTGGAAGATGTGTGCTTCTGGTCATTTCGTCCTGCGTGCAAAGAGTATGGCTCCTTGAAAGTCTACTATAAAATAAAGCTAAACCAAACTATATAACTGTATGATTTTCTAAATGCTCTAATAATCCCTCTGCTTCTTCAAACTGTGTTCTTCATTAGGGCTTGGGCAAAATTTAATGATATAAATTCTGACTCATATGAAGACTTGCCAATTTGCATTAATAGCTTGAAGAATCATTGAGAGCTACTCATTTTCGCAAATTAGCAAGTAAATCAGTGAATGGAGTAGAAAGAATGGAGTATGAAATATACTCTATTTAGTGTTAATTTCTATTATAACTTTATGTTACAGCAGTAAACATCTTGCAGTATACATTTGTGAGGATAATAAAATCTGAGTACTCCGTCCTCACTACAAATACTCTGAAATAATTGTTTGAACGTGAATGTTATATCATTACAGAATTAATTTCTGGTTTTTAGATGATGCACGAAATGTAAATATAAGTACACAGCTGGGCTTTCACAGAAAGCAAAATCAAGTGCATTTTTCCTTTTCCAGGTCACATTTATATATCGCCGTCAGTATTTTATTTTAATTCTGGACTGTGTTTAAACAGTATCATAAGCTGAAAGAAAATTTATTGAAATAAAGATTCCCCACCCTTGGCCCAGTAAACCCTCTGTATCCTCTTCCACAACTAAAACAAGGAGGGGAGAGGTCAGTCTCCATTGCAGTACATCCGTGGAGAATCATTAACCAGAATGTCTTGGATTCAGTAGAAAACACTTTGGGGGAGTGAAACAAAAGTCTAGGGAAATTGTGTGTTCTTCAGGTTGCAGAGGTCTGAGATCTTGAGCTTTGAAGTATCTCTAGAAGCAGAACAGAGGAACCAAGGTGTTGGTATATAGTTAATTGAAACTAAATGATGAGAAACTGGGAAGTGGTTTTTTTTTTTTTAATTAAAAAAGTAAAGGAAACAAAGGGAAGTATATGCTTTTGTTGTGGGCATTTCCATCTAACTGCAGTACTGTCTGAGAAAGACAGAACCCTGCTGTATAGGAGACAGACAAACAGACATGTCATAGCCACTGCGCAGGATGGGAAGAAGTGTGGAAGTCCTGGGGTCCAGTGGACAAGTGAGAAGGAAGGACTGCAGCATGGCTGACAGGTAATCCCACCGGGCAGAGATCTGCTGAGGAGAACAGTAATATTGGAAATGCTAAAATAGGAGTTTTCTGGCCAAGAGCCAGAAGTGTTGAGGTCAGAAGCACTGCAACTAGAAGCTATGAAACCACTTCTTCACTGAGAAAACAAACTTCACCCTGCCAGTGGAAAAAATCAGGCTTAACCTTGCCAGGGGGAGAAATTCAGGGGAATCTTTTTCAGTATGTCTGTTGTAGGTAGTTTTGCATGTAGACCTTCTCATGCTGTTGCAATTTCCAAAATAAGCCAGATTTTAAGAAAATATGTACAGTAGTTTTAAACAGTAAATAAAGCTTGAAGGAAAAAAAGGGCTGTGGTTTTATGTGCAAGAATTTCCTTACCCGCCATTGCTGCAGTTTCAGGTATGATTGCACATCAGGCACAAGAAGCACCCCTTGTGCTTGGTATAAGGGGCACTCTTCTCGATCCCTGTGTGGAAAAGCATTTAGTACTTCTTGGTGCTAAATGGTCATGAAGTCATACATGGTTTATGGTCTCCTAATCCAGGATTTATTGTCTTGATCCTGTTCCAGAACTACAGACTTGAGTTGATTAAAAACAAATATGATTCTTCAAAGCTTTTAAGCAAATTGATTTACTCTGGCTTGAAAATTCTCATAGTCCCCAATTTTATATTAGTCTGTGTGGTCCTTGTATTCATCCATGAAATATTCAATGCTAGAAGGATTTGACAAATGGTATGTAAAAAAAATTTAAAACCATTTTAAAAAATGCTACATGAGACTTTAAAATATCGATGAGGTGGGTGGAAAATCACTCTTAGCTATACCTAATAGGTTGCCATTTTGTTTCTTTTTGGAGTGGGAAGGACAACTGAAATAGTGAGCCAGCTTGGTTACCTGCAGTTTTCTCTGTGCTATTCTGTCCTAGTACTATCAAAAACAAACCAATCTGTTCATAATTCCCTCTGCCAGGTCAGTCCCTGTGCTTGGCAATCCCCTGCCCTTCTGCACCTTCCTAATGACACACTGAACAGCGTTCCTTCGTTTTACACAGTGATGACACCTCTTATTTCCCCCTCCCAGTTAAAGAGTTGTCCGAGGAGCAGCCAGGAGACCAGCACACATCCTGACTCGCTGGCCTCCCAGCCCAAGCAGGGACGTGGAAGAGGCTGGCTTGCTTGCCTTATTTGTGCCTCAGGTTTGCTGCCTGGTTTGAGCAGTGATTTGAAGGGAGGGAAGCTGCCCATCAAAATGCAATGCAGACTGATCTTACTGTTAAGAGGCTTTTCTTGATGCCTAACCTGAATCTCCTTTCCTGCAACCTTTGTAAACTATGCACTTTTCTATTTTTTTTAGTCATTATGAACATGTAGAACAGACCTTTCCCCTCCTTGCTGAAGACTCCTATCTTGTTTTCCTTCAATTTTCCCTTTCCAGACTGAACGCCACCATTACTAGTCTTTTCTCAAAGAAAGATAGCTTCCCCAGGGAGATATATTTTTATTTTTATGCCAGAGCAATGATTGCCTTTATTACTGCAGAATGTGCTCATTGACCAGTGGCCCTCTGGTAGACCACTGTGACCTTCGGGTCCTTTTCTGTACTCTTCTTCTCTAACTTGTCATTCCCTGTTTGCACAGTTTGTTTTTCTTGCCGTAGTGCAGAAACTTGTATTTGTCCTTACTAAATTACATTGCCAGCCCTTTTCTCTAGGGTAACAGAAACCTTTTAAATGACGGTCTTGTTGAGTGGTGCACTTCCAGACCATCTTGGTTGTGTTATCTGTAACTGTAATAAGAGCACTCAGTTCCATCCTTGAAGTCATTACTGAGAATATTGGATAATACCTGCCAAAGACAGACCCCTGTGCAAGGCCACTCAAAATACATCCCATGGCTTTGTCATTGAACTGCTGTTACGGGTTCTGAGTGCAATTTTTTAATTGTATGTCTCAAGACTGTTGACAGAAGCACCAGAATATTACGCAAAGCAGTATTAAAAGACTTGCTACAGCATATATGACATAGATTGTATGACATACACAACATATATGGCATTTATTGCCTGAGCAATCTTCTGCATTTGTAAGTGCAGAGGGCAGTCGTAAAGACATCAGTTCTACAATCAGCTGTATTATCCAGTGACTGAAAAATGAGATTTCATTAGGAAATTACTGGAATGTTTCTACAGCAAGTTTGCTGCAAAGAATGATACTGGCTTCTCTGAAACAAAGTTCTTAGTTATCACAGCATTTGCATTAATTCTAATTGCTTCTGTAAATGCATAAGCTTATCATTTGTTGTGACAGCACACAAGAGGAAGAAAAATTTGTATGTTTGAAGTCTGGCTTCTGGTTTATGTTCTAGCTAAAAGTGCTATTCAAAGACTGAAGAATGTTTTCAGAACTATAGGTGATTACGTCCTCTTAAGTTACATGGTAATCTATAGAATATTAAAGAATTTTCTAAGGCCTTTATAACAGTCCTAAAAGCTTTTAGAATAAAGTTATTAATCAGGCACACAGCTCACTTCCATGTCTTTCTTTCGTAAGGATTTTGTCGATGATTTATTAAAATTGTTTGCATTTAAATATTTTAATAGGAAGAAAGGACTTGTGTTTGTAATGAATTTGCCTGTCATTTGTAGCTCTCCTATAAGGGCAGGCTGAGAGAGTTGGGGTTGTTCAGCCTGGGGAAAAGAAGGCACCAGGGAGACCTTATTGCAGCCTTTCAATGCTTAAAGGAAGCTCATTAGAAAGATGGGGACAGATTTTTAATAGGGCCTGTAGCGATAGGACAAGGTGTAATGGTTTTAAACTAAAAGAGGATAGATTTAGACTAGATATGAGGAAGACATTTTTTATGATGAGGGTGGTGGAACACTGGCGCAGGTTGCTCAGTGAGGTGGCAGATGCCCCATCCCTGGAAACATTCAAGGTCAGGTTGGACAGAGCTTTGAGCAACCTGATCTAGCTGAAGATGTCCCTGCTCATTGCAGGGGGGTTGGACTAGATGACCTTTAAAGGTCCTTTCCAACTCAAACCATCCTATGATTATCCAGAGCACAATCTTTTAAGGACTCTAGGACGTTTTAATGAACATTTATAATTAAATGCTAGATGAACTTACTGCATGGTTAGAAATGCAGTGGTTACTTTGTAAGGTTGAGTTCTTTTATATTTTATGACGTGCAATGTTTTATGTATTACAAAATTTTATGTAGTATGTTAAGCCTTTGTTATCTCTGCTCAGCTTGTCATGAGGTATGGACTTTATGGTCTCCAGGGGATGATATCTTTGGTGAAGTTAATGTAATAAATGGGGCAAACTCTTGCTTTCCTGTCAGCTTTCATAAAACTTTATTGCCAGATTTACAGTCCCTGCACATTATCAGCAAGGGATAGCTGTATTAATAATGAGTGTGTCCATTTCTCCCCTAAAATGTGTGTCAAAAGAAAATGAGTGTGAAAGCATATAGAGTTTTGTGGGTTTAAATGGAATTAAATGTTTCCATATTAAGTTAAAAATTATGAAGTTGTTCTACTTATATACTTAAAACATTTCAGTTAAAAAAGCAGAAATGGATTTTTAGCTGTATATTTATTTGGGATTCATTATTGGTTTTATATTCTATTTCCTCATTACAGTATTTTCTTATGTGTTCTTCCTAGAATGGCTTTACTCCTTTATATATGGCAGCTCAAGAAAACCACATTGAAGTGGTGAAATATCTCCTGGAGAATGGAGCCAACCAAAGCACTGCTACTGAGGTGAGGTATATTGTTCTTTTTTTACACACACTCTTATTTTCCTGTGCCTTTATATTCACATCACTTAAAGTCAGAAGATTTTTTAAATGGAGTATTTTGAGAATTGTCACCATTTCATTTCAATGAGTTGTATATATGAATCTTACCCTTTTCTTCTACACACACAGGATAAAGGAGAACTGTTCTGGAAATAGTGAAGAGTCAAGGGTTGAAATCCAGCCTGACTCATTTGACATCAAAATTTGCACTGACATTAGTGAGCCCAGGATTTTTCACCTTCTGTTTGTGCCCGTTTCACCTGTCAGCTTCCTGGAGAATTTTCTGAAAAATGAATGAGGCTTTGAAGAGAGGCCTCTAGAACTGTAGAAATTATAGGAGGCCAAGGTGGTATTGTCAGGGGAATGGAGTGAATAGTAGATCAATCATAGGCTAAGTGGAGAGGTATAACATTTAATTTGAACTGATTTACGTCTCTGACAAAGCCCATGAAAACTCAAGTATCTAGAAGTGGCATCCCCTGAGCAACAGTGCTCTCTATGTGCTGCTTTTCCATTTGCACTATAACATCTGTGCAAAAAGCAGGGAATAGAATATTACAGCACGTATCTCCCACTCTTGGCTGTGTAAGGGGTCTCCTGGGGAAGGTAGGTTGGAGGCTTATTTCATCTTTTCCAGAGCCAGTCGAAAAGCGTGAGGAACATAATGTGAATACCATAGTTAGGACTGTGAGGACTGTGTCTAGAAGAGTGTCTGTATATAGTGTAAAATGGTATAAAAACAATTAGTGTCAACAACTAGTTGTTGATAAACTTCCTTTTAGACTGGGACTTGACATTTTAGAGTTCAGAATATCTTCTGCATAGAGAGAAACAGTGGGAAACAGGGAAGTGCATGCACAAAAGTGACGAGTGGCTCTCTGTGGTACTGGGTTCACAAAATCATTCTGGTAACAAAGGGGCCTCAAGAGGTCATGTACTCCAACCTCCTGCTCCTGGTCCCCTAAGTGAGGAGCGATGGCAGCTGGGCCTCCTTGACCAGCTGAGATACTCTGATTCTGTGTCTTGTCTGTGACTTTAAGTGTAACCTATGAATATTCATTATTGTCTGTGATTAGTGTAAATTGGAAGTCAAATGTCTAACAAGGATCACATCAGTGAGCTCAGCAGGCAATGTGCTGTATTCTTCTCAGACAGTTTACTTCTACTGGCAAACTATATGGGTATAAATATGCAGAAAGATGGTATTCACTGCTAGGTTCTGGATTTAACTGCAGTGCTGTAAACCTGCATTCACTTCAGTGCAAGCAGGGCAGACACCAAAGTAAGAGAGATGAGACTCCGTCTCAAGAGAAACTGAATCGTAAGAACTATCTTCTGCAAATGAGAGGATTCCAGGGCGATGGAGACCAGTTCCTAGGTAGTCAGGACTGTGTTCATTCTGTTTCCTCTTGTTCTGGGGAATGAAGGGATTGAAAGCAGCCCTGAAAAGAAGGACTTGGGGTATTGGTGGATGAAAAGCTGGACATGAACTGGCAGTGTGCGCTCGCAACCTAGAAAGCCAATTGTGTTCTGGGCTGCATCAAAAGAAGCATTAGCAGCAGGTCGAGGGAGGGGATTCTCCCCCTCTGCTCTGCTCTGGTGAGACCCCACCTGCAGCACTGCATCCAGCTCTGGAGTCCTCAGCACGAGACGGACATGGACCTGCTGGAGTGGGTTCAGAGAAGGGTCACAAAAATGGTCAGAGGGTTGGAACACCTTTCCTGTGAGGACAGGCTGAGAGAGTTGGTGGTGTTCAGCCTGGAGAAAAGAAGGCTCCAGGGAGACCTTATTGCAGCCTTTCAATGCTTAAAGGAAGCTCATTAGAAAGATGAGGACAAGCTTTTTAGTAGGACCTCTAGTGACAGGACAAGACATAATGATTTTAAACTAAAAGAGGGTAGATTTAGACTAGATAAGAGGAAGAAATTTTTTATGATGAGGGTGGTGAAACACTGGAACAGGTTGCCCAGAGAAAGTGGCAGATGCCCTGTCCCTGGAAACACTCAAGGTCAGGTTGGACAGAGCTTTGAGCAACCTGATCTAGCTGAAGATGTCTCTGCTCATTGCAGGGGGGTTGGACTAGATGACCTTTAAAGGTCCCTTCCAACCCAAACTATTCTATGATTGTATTTCTGCCAAATGTTCTTTTATTCCAGGCTAAGGGAAGGAGTGAACAGGCTCTGCGCTGGGAAGTCTGTTGGTTTTGTGTTTGCTCTATGGATATGGATGTGCTATGTGAAGTAGCAATAGGAAAGTTCCTCTCCTGTCAGAGCTTTTGCTCATGTTTGTTACTTTTGTCTAGTCTGTACAGACTTGTATCATTCTTGATTACCTTCACAAATGGATGAATTTGAAATGATGGTGCATTTATGCTCCTTCTCCT